AAAAAAAAAAAAAGAAAACTCTCATCTACTCTATACAACTAATTATGTGTTTAGAATGCACGACCACCCAACATATCGATGCCGAAAACGAAAATCTATGACAGTGACGAAGATAATGCCAATAGCAATAATCGCAATAAAACAACAATCGGAACGAAGGAGAATAAAAAAATAAATCAACAAATTGTAAAATTGTCGAAAAATGAAAAAGATAAAGGAGGGTAAGCGTGACAGAATCATTGAATTTATAATAAATTTTGCGGTAACGTTGTACTTATATTTAAGAAACCAATCATCTTCTCAAAATTCTGGTTGGTTTGGCGGCATTTGGAATAAGTTCTCATTAAAACCGAAAAATCAAATGATTTTGCCCGATGACAAAAATCCAACTATAGTATGGGATGCGGCGGAAGAAAAATGGGTTAATACAGAGGGCGATGGCAATGAAGAGGAATCATTAAAGCCGCCTCCAAAAATGAGCGATTTGATGCCTCAAGCACAACATCAGCCACCGCAAATGCCGCATCCATCCCAAGTGCCATTTATCGAGACGCAGCAACACTATACGCAACAACTACAACAACAACAACAACCACAACAACAACAACAGCAACAACCATACCTATCTAATGCAACAGTGACATCGTTACCTTCCAATAATACCATTTTTGCTAATCCCGTTGCTCCTGTCGCCACTGTCTCCGCAGCTCCATTTAATTCAACAAAAACTCCGCATTTACAATCAAATATGTTTAAAATGCAGAGAAATCGAAGTGAGTAACCTAAGGTCGAAATTAAAATGAAATCTCTATGAAAAAAAAAAAAAAAAAAAAAATGTAATTTTTTAGGGACGTCGTTTCATTACTCGTCGATACTTGAAAAAGGTATTGACTTTAATTCAAGCAACCTGATTGGCATATATTTCAATGAGGGCAACATAAGCTCCAGTTAGTTTCACGTTAGTCTTTTGTTTTGCCGAGAAATACCGTTTTCTTTTTTTTTTTTAAATCTTTAATTTATTCTTATTGTTATTATAATTTTTTTTTTTTTTTTTTTTAGCCTTGAAAAATTCTTATGTAGATGTTTTTAATCCATCCGGTGCTCCTCTTAGTAAAGCGGCTGACAACATATTAGCTCCTGCTCTACCGTCGGCTACCGTACCTCAAGGTGGCTTCCTTGTGCCAGGAGCCATACCTCAGCAACAAGCTACAATGCAGCTAAATGACACTAGCGGAGGTTATCAGCAACAGCAACAGCAACAACAAGATGTAAGTCGAAAATGTTTAGAACGTTTTAAGAGGCTTAGCGACAGCCTTGCTGCCAAGAGTTCATTTCAAGTCTCACATCCCGAGAAACAATAATATGTGATAACTCTGTGAAATGTTATTTTAATCATTGAAAAATTACTGATTAAATATAAAACTTTCATCTGTCTATTGTTGTAATTTGAAGAGAGAGAAAATAGAAATCTAAAATTTGGCATAAATACATTTAATTGATATTGTCTGTTGATTTTAACAGATTGCACATATTTCTTCCCTACGGTAAAGGGACTTGAATATCTTCAAATAGTTGTCTCAATTAATTAGAAATTTTAATATCAATTATTTGAGATAAATCTGAATGTCCATTACTTTGTCACATATGTGGTCCGGAATATTGAGCGACTTTAACGTTAGCGACATTACAACGTTAATCATTTATAATTGATAACTATGTTAAATGTTAATCATTTGATGTGCAATCAACTAGTCGTATATAGTTGTCATTGTGTCAATATGCTTGTAATTCTCACAAGTGAAAAGGTATAACCAAAAGTCAAAGATATAACAAAACGACGCCGCTTACGTTTAATTTTTTTTCTAAACTTTTTTGTTTTTTATTTGTTTATTTTATTTAATTTTAGGTACCTCAATTCTACAATCCCAATCAATTTAACCCGAACATTAATGATGGTTCAACTTATTAAATGAATTTAAATTAATTTCATTTATTATGGCTTCAACGTAGAGAATAGACAGATAATCGACAAAGAGAAAAGGGTAAATCATTATGTATTCTTGTGTAGCCTTTAGCCTTGTTTCTATAGTATAAATTTATACAATATATATAGATTAAAGAAAAAGAGAGTAAAAAAATAAATAAATAGATTCTAAACTATTTCGGATAGTAGAACGTAAAAAAAAAAAAAAAAAAAAAAAAATAAATAAATAAATAAATAAATATAAAACGATAAAAATATATTTATATAATATATAGAGAATGAGAAAATAGCTAATGTTTATTATTAACTATGTTGTGAATGTATGCCCTGTACATATATATATTTTATAACGTAAGAAAAGTACTAAAAAAAACAAATATTCATTTTAAATTGTTTCCTTCATTTTACAGAGCATCTCTTACAGCAATTGCGTTCACATATGTTTTCCTTTTTCTTATAAATATTTTTTTTCCTTATTCACTTTATATATATTTTCCATATTATAATTGGGCTAATTTTCGTCGATTTCTTACAAGGTGACATATAAATTTAAGACGAAAATTATCAAAAAATTAATATCTTTATTTGTTTATATTTTTATTACTAATATTTAAATTATTCGTACATTATATTGTCGCATACAAAAAACAACACATAGCTTATTGAAAATGTTAATGATATGATATCAAGGAGGAATTATGACGACTGTAAGCTTTTTCCATTTAAAAAATTTCATTTGATAGGAGGATTCAAAAATTAACTTTTCTCATCTTTTTTAAGATTTCCGTTTCCGATGTTTTTTGTTTGTAAAGAAGTATATTATGTTTTATAAATAAGTTGTGTGTCCTCGATCCTTGAGAAAGGTGAAATTATTTTCTTCAAATACTACTACTAATAATAATAATAATAATTTTTTTTTGAAATAATTGGTATTATGAATAGTTTTCTTAAAAAAATTTTTCAGCTTACGTAAGAGAGAAAATCGAGTTCTATTTTTAATTTTCTATATAAAAAATTATATTTACTATGTTATAAGTAATGATGTTATAAAATACAAGTTTTTTAATCAAATATCTATTATTGTTATATTTTGTGTTTTTGTGTATTTTTTTATTTATTTTTTTTTCGCTTTGTAAATTATTGCATTTAATTTACATTTATTTTTTTTATTTACTTTTTATTGTTTCTTTATTTTTTTTATTTTTTATTTTTTTAATTATTAAAAACCAGGTGCGGGTTAGTGTTGCTTTGAATATGTTTTACATTTGTAACAAACGCAGTATAAAAAAAAAAAAATAAAAAAAAAAATAAAAAAAAATACTAAATGGCAACCACGAATACAATTGATTTATTATATCTAAACAAAAAAAAAAAAAAATAAAATAAAATAAATGTGTAAATTACTCTTTTTTGTAAGTAAAGGTCTAGAAAACAATTGATATAATTTATGTGCAGATAGAGTAAGTATAGTATATACAAATAAAAAAAACGTCACGCAATAAAAATCATGTAAGTCTACCGCAAACTATGTTCGCTTCTTGGGAAAGTGAGTATTTTGAATGCCCAACGATTAATATCCATCAACGGATATGTTTTTTTTTTCAATTCAAAATTTATACTTTTGCCGTTAAATATGCTGCAACATTGGCAGTTCTACTTAAACGTTTTACGGACTTTTGGCTGGCAAATCGATTCGTTCAATAATTGCTTCTTTAAATGCAAATAATACCACAGGCTAGGATTGGCGAGGGATGTAATCTATTATATAACCAAATATCGGCACAAGTGCAATATACTATTATATATCTTTGCTATCTCTCTTAAGCATCGGAACTACTTGCTTGGCAGTCTGAGAGGTGAAAATCAATTCTGAAGAGTTGGCAGTTTATAGACATAAAACAGCATTATGGAATAACTTTTCGTCTCTTAAAGTGCAAAATGCTCGACACTTACAAGTACTACAAATCTTCTTGATATGACATTGTTTTGCTAAATTTAAGGCATATTCTTCATGTGCGTATTTATGGGTAAGAGGGCCCAAAGCGCAACCTAATGTAGTACAAATTTAATCCTTACGTAGGGTAGGATTCAAAAATAGGTGTAGATGGTCCAAATTTTGTAGAGTTCAGTTTTGTATGCAATTACTATAATATTATGGGTCAATTTTCATCATCACATATTAAAACTTAGACATTTCTGCTCTGAAAAGTATCAATTTTCATGAAAATCCTTATTAGGGTAGGATCCAAAAAGGTAGGCCAAGATGGTCTAAATTTGGTACATTCAATTTTTTTAATTATAAAATATTATTGTGATATAATTAAACCAGTTTTCGTTACAGGAGACGGGGTTCAAAAATTGCTCCAGCCGGTCCAAAGTCTTCATATCAATTTAGACTGTCGAAATACTACTACTTAGTAACTTTTGCCTAGAAGTTTTAAAAATTACAATTTTTTTTCCATATATGGGAAGTGGGCGAAAAAGTCGAACGATCCTAAACATTTCCAATAGCGTTCGTCCTTGTGTCAAAACCCGTCACTGTACCAAATTTCATGAAAATATCTTAAAAAGTGCGACCTTTAGCTTGAGCAAAAATTATATGGACGGACAGACGGACGAACAGGCGTAAATCAATTTAGATAATGATTCTGAATCGATCAGTATAATAAAAGGTGAATCTATCTTAAGACCTTCTGCGTCCGTACTAAATCAATATACCCTACACAACTTGCGGTATAATAATATGAGTAGAAATTAAATATTTCAATCATTGTTTAAAATGTAAAACCAATAGCTCATGACTTTTTATATCAAATTTTTTTTGATTGTATTATATTTATTAATTAAACTATTATTCTTACCGTGATTATATAATTAAATTAAGTCTTTTTATATTTCAATATTGGGAAGGAAGCAAGGTTTATTCGCTTTAGAGCTAATCTTTTTTATTTATTATTTCAGAATTATAGATACGAGTGTTTTATTGATTGTAGGCGTGCCCGTTAGATAACAAGGTCAGTCTTTACTCACATTCAAATGTACCGTATTTGAGCTTCGTATTTGCAATGTATTGAAATTAAGGCATCTCTGTTATTTTGAAAACTTTGAGTCTTTTTGCAACATGTCGCAGGCAGCCCCAAAAGAATGCGTAGACAGACGGACATAACCAAATCAATCCGGAAAACGCTACGCTTATCGCAAATATATATTTTACACGTATCTGATTCGTACTTTTTGGTACTGCAACCGGACGTCGTCACTTTCAAAAGTAGGCGGTATAAAAATATATATTTCAAGAGCTGAGTTTATTATTATTTATTGAAATCTAGAAAAAGAAAATTTGTAAATACAAGTTAAAACGTTACAGTCTGGCAAGATTAAAATATGAAATACCTTATCTCACTTGATTTAGTCCGATGCTTCTTCCAGTGATTTAACGTGGGTACACTATCGTGAAGGTTTATTCACACGGTGCCCGATGGCACTCCCAGTGTGAAACGGTCAAACGCTGCGAGGTTGGTAATCCCCGCAGCAGATTGTGCCGAAGTTGGCAAGTTTGTTTGTGCCGTGAGAAAGATTTGATTCTCGGGTGCTAGCCATAGCCGTATTCCTTTCTGATGAGAGCCAGCCTCTATCTAAAATCTCTGCCTTTTTGTGAGTAAGCCAGCCAGTTGCGATGTAACTGCACATCGAGCAAAAACACTTCCCACAATTTCGCGCTAACCTTAGGCACCACGAAAGTCCCGCAATGAGCCGTTCCCGTTGTCAGGCCGAAGCTAGAAGAAGTGTTTCGGGTGCTTCTGACACTCGTGTTACCAGAGCGGGCGTCCCATATGACGCAAACTCAACATGTCATGGGAAATAATATGACGTCACAGGTTCGCAAAAATTACGCGAACTATTAGTGCACTAAATTTTGTCAGAGTAGTTTAGAAATTGTGTTGATTCAAGTAAACATAAAGCAAATGCCTGAATCGATCCATATATAATAGAAGATGTGTCTTTCGTACTCCCCAGTACAATTGCTGTAGAGTATAATAATGGACTGAACTGTAGACGCGAATCTTATACAAATTTCAATTTTCGCTCCTTATAGATAGTAGAGTGATAACGTAGAACTTATTAAATTATTTAAACACACACATCTATCTACCCTAATAAAGTTAAGTCTAAATGCGTATTACGTTTGCTTAGCAGCGCAAAACCCATTTGCATACGTCTCGGAGTGTGTTTACTTGTAGAAGCCGAACTGCAAAAAAAAATAAAAAGAAAACAAGTAAATAAATCTAATTTTGCTTATGGACGTCTGCTTGGAGATCTGATGCTTTTTTTTTTTACATGGCCAAGTATCATTCGCACGAATACAATCAAATAAATACGAGGCGGTTGGAGTATAATCATGTGTGTATATATATGTATTGTGCCATATACTGTTCAGACAATGTACGTACACACATCATTACATGAGCCAGACTCCTTGTAATATTGTAAAGCATTTGTGTACGTTAAATAGATCGAAGGCAATGTAATTTTGTTTCTCCCCTTCCCACGCTTACGCCTAGCAGAGAGCTCTCGTTGGTAATATAAATGTACGAACGGTTTTTTTTTTACAAATTTTTATTGATTCAATAGTCAAATGATGTTATGGAAACTGTAGTTGTTTCCCCATATAATGCCATATCACACGAACATGAGCACAAAGCGCGGTAATGTTAAGTATTATCCTTTGACTTATTACTTCACTCTCGTTATTAGAAAATTTAACATTGGCTCTACGAAGAAGGCAGAGTTTGGTTTTAACTGCTTTCGACCAAATTCAAACCACACGGGTTGTAAGGAGCAGTTCCGCTGAAAGGGACGCTTTACACATATGCGTATTTATATCCTCCACGATATGTCACATATCGGCGGAGTTAAAACTGACTTATCTCGGAACACACTATTCCATGCAAAATTATTTTCTAATTTATGTACGTTTCTCCGTCTATTTGTCCGTCCATAGTTGTTTGCATCCAATTCATATAAGTCGAGAATTTCAGGATATTTTGAAAGTCCAAAAACAAAACCCATCAAAGATAAATTGGATGAAATTATTTTCACGATGACAACCCCTATATAAAAAGGTGTGATTTTTACACCTTACACCACTTGTATGTGGTGCACACGAAAAGTCTTAAGATAGACCCACCTTTT